GACTCTTTCGTACGATCAATCTACATTCCAATCTCCTGGCCGTTCATTCTCACATTTCAATATATCACCGGACCGGGATTTACAATGGCTTCGCAAAAGATCAGCGCTCGTCACGCGAGCCCGTTAGGCCTTACAGCGTGAAATATCTTCCACGCGCGCGGCTCTGCATTTTCCTACTTCCTGTTTACGGGGTCCGATCATGTTTACCTCGGACACAACGACAATTCAATGCCGTTGTATTTGTTGCCCGGGAGGCGGTCGCGTAACTCCTCGAAACGATACCGGGGCTGTCACAAGCTAGAGAGAGAGAATGCGAAAGAAATACGAGGCGGCTCTTCGCGTAAACATCGCGAAATCGTTGTCCTAGCACGTCTCCCCGTCCGGTCGGCCCCGGCGCATGTACATGCGCTGGTATTAACGCGCGGAGGAGCGCACAACAAACGCGCATACATACGCACACGCCTCTTCGTCGGCGTGGAGAACCATGCCCAGCTGAGCGTGGTGAAATCGTCGGCCGCCGCACGCGGGGAGAAGGGAGCCCTAGAAAAAGGCAGTCTCGGTGTGAACACCGCGACGGGAGGCTGCAGTTGCGCTGGTGCACCGTGTGCACGCATCCAGTGGCGTAACACACTCCCGTAGCACCGGTAGCCGCACCTTGCAAAATATTTATGTATTCTCCCGCGCTTTTTTAACGCCGCCGCGCGTCCGCCGTTTTTTACGCCTCCTCGCGCCGCTCATCGTCGGGGCCGTCTTGCTCAACGTCCGTCGCGTTTCCATCCACTTCACGGTAACGCGCAATCGACGGTCGATTCACTCATGTGACGTACTCTTCGTCGATCCTTTAAACGTGTGGCTCCTGCCACGTAAAGATCCCGCGTTATCGCGCGAGAGAAACGTTCGTGTGACTTTCAAAAGCGCCGCGAATAGCCGCTATTCTCCGCGCGAAAAGACGAACGGCATTCGGGAGGGGACTCTACCGCCGTGAAAAATCCATGGAATCTAAGAAACGCCGAGGCAACGCGTGGGTCTCACGTGTGCGACAATTGAACGATCGCCTGCGCGATCGTTCCGAGGAAGAGTTACGCCATTGGCTCGCGAGCTGAACCTCCTTTCTCGCTCGAACCTTGATCTCTTCCTCTCTCGTTTCCTCATCTCCTCCCCTCGTTCTCGTTCCTCTCAGTCAGACGTTCGCGTATACGTCGAGGAGTTCTCCTCCTTCTCCGCCACTCCGTTCTCGAGAGCGTCGCGTCGCCCTTTCGGCCGATGTGTTGTCGCGGTACAGAAATACTATCGCTGTAAAAGTGTGTTAGAACACGTCAGATTCCACGGCGAGAGACACGAAAAGTTACTCCGCGACAGGGGATCCCCACCGGGATAGACAACTTTACAACTATGCTTGTAAACCGTTATGACTGTAGCCGTTTTCAAGGGCTCGCTCAAAGTCGGGAAGGACGGAGGGAGGGGTGTTATCGTTTCTCGTCGGATAGACTCTCGTCGCGATTTCTCGAGAGAGTCCCTTCCCGCCCTCATCGTTGACCGACCATTCTGTCACATTGTAGGGATATCGGCTCGCCTTATCCGCGATACAGCCGCGGTATAATAATACACCGTCCTCCCCTTCCCTCCCACTTGCATCCCCCTTTATCTCGCGACTTTCACAACGCCCGACACGCACGGCGTACAAACGACGCCGACGCTGGCTTTCTCCATCGGGGCAGAGACGCGAACGACAAACGCCGCGGCGGAATATAGGCGCGGCAGCGGCGGTCGTAATATCGACTACCGTTATTTCTCGCTCTTCAGACTCCTCTTCTTTCCCCGACAGAACGATCGACTTGTCTTTACGAGTCGCCCCGACACTTCGAAGACGAAGGTTCTCTCGTAACACACACACACACACACACACACA